CGCTCCCCCCTCCCTGCAGTGCCACAAAGAGGACCCTTGGTGAGTCTGGGCCCCGGCTTATGGGACCTACGTAGTATTTCTTTCAATAGCTACCAGTTATAGAATGGGTAGAGCTAGGCACAAAATGGCGACTTGTACAAAAATTATAATGTTTCAGAGCAGGCCTGCAGTGCTTGCATGGGGAAACCATTCCTCTGTTGTTTCCCCAAAGCAAATTGCCACCCAGGACCAAATGGTAGCTTGCCCTGCCAGGCAATGCTCCCTCTAAGCTGTTGTTGTGTACTGACTAAGAGCACACACGCGGTCGGGTTCGCACATGGTCACGCGAACTAGCGGAGCTTCGCAACCAAGCACAATAGCCAGAGAGGATCCTGGGACAGGCCAATCAGTTACCCGGATCCCAGCAGGAACCTATGGGTGTGGGTGTATTGCAAATAAACCAATCACGGGTGTAGGTGTGTGCTGGGTGTGGCTTGAAACGGGGATTTAAGCAGGGTCTGGTCCCTGCTAAGGCATCTCAGTTTTTCCTGCCTTTAATAAACAAGGGCCCTGGCCACACAAGCTGGATATCGCGGGGGGGGGAGGCGTGGCTAATTGCCCTGGTGCAGTTTGATCCGCGATTACGTGATCAGGCGCGCAGGCGGCACACCTATAGGTCCTTCCCTCGGTGCAGGCGGGTAAACGAGGGACCGGGGGGGGGGAATGCCACGCGCCGGCACGATCACACCATGGGCATCTGAAGGGAGCCCATGGGAAACGTTTACTAGTACCTTGGAGGTACTAGTTTTTTAATGCGCATTGTCGGCGGTAAGCCACGGGTGCACTCCACTTCCCAGATCTTGGGGTGTGAATCGCGCCCGGATAATCCGCCCACCATCCGTGCCTCTCCCGCGGCAACTTTGCCGTGTGACCGGGGCCTATGAGCTGATTCACTAACAATGCATCTGGTATTTTACAGCTGTGGAGTCTGGTGAGCAAAAATTCTACTTTGTGGGCAACTGGCATTAAAGTCGTGAGTGAGTGATTTGGCTACTGCATAAATTCGTTCGCTCTGGAACCGTCCTTCCTGAGCTAAGACAAAAATGTGTGAGCTGGAGGCTAAAAAACTGTGAGCTAGCTCACACTAACTCAGCTTAGAGGGAACACTGCTGTGAATATATGCAGTGAGCCCTGTGTTTTTCCTGGAAGTGGAAAATGACAGTTTTGATGCATGGCGAAGGACTCAGTCCCAAGCCAGTGTGGTGCAGTGGTTTAGAGCACTGGATGAGGACCCAGGAAACTCAAGACTGAATCTCCACTCTGCCATGGAAGCTTGTACCAGTTACACACCCTCAGCTCACTGCAGCCCTGGAGGAGGTGCTGAGAGCTATTTTTACTTGCTTGGTGAGCAACTGGTCATTCCCCAGTGACCTTCTGCTCACTGCTGGATCAGACTCAATAAAAACACATTTCATTTTTCAATCTTTGCTTCAGCCTGCCATGCCATCAGAGCCCTGTTCAGATACATTTTTCTATTGTATGTCTTTAAAACAGTAATTTCTAAACAATGTGCTGCCAGCTGAAACTCTGCATGGTTCCCTGCTCTGGCTTTATTTCCCAACGGGAATGTGGAGTTCTGCCATCTGCAGGAGAAGAAGAAGAGAAGAAGAAGAGATTGGATTTATACCCTGCCCTTCACTACCCAAAGGTGTCTCAGAGCGGCTTACAAACTCCTTTCCCTCCCCCTCCCCACAACAGATACCCTGTGCAGGGCTGATAAAGCTCTGCCAGAAACTGCTGTTTTTCAAGAACAGCTGTGCCAGAACTATGGCTTGCCCAAGATCATCCATCCAGGTGCAAGTGGAGGAGTGGGGGATCAAACCCGGTTCTCCCAGATTAGAATCTGCACACTTAACCACAACACCAAACTGGCTCTCATTGAACTGAGTGCCCTCACAAGAGACTATTTTATTTATTTATTTTATTACATTTATACCCCGCCCTCCCCGCGAACGGGCTCAGGGTGGCTCACATAGGGCACCAAGTGCGTTCAATATACAAAATTTCATAATACAAAATACAAATTAAAACAAGTTAAAATCAGTTCTATGGATGCACATAAAGACTCCTAACATCTTGCGTGGCAGGGGGGGAAGGTTGGGGTGATGGAAAGATGTTACCCCCCCAGTGGTCTCTCACTATAGAATGGTCTCTCTCTATAAAGGAGCGGTGGTGGTAGTGGCAGTGGCGGCTCCTACTCATAAGCCTGGCGGAAGAGCTCCATCTTGCAGGCCCTGCGGAACTGCACAAGGTCCCGCAGGACCCTGATCTCCTCCGGGAGCTCATTCCATCAGATAGGAGCCACCACTGAGAAAGACCTGGCCCTTGTTGCCACAAGCTTGGCCTCCTTAGGGCCTGGGGTCACCAGCCGGTGTTGTGACCCCGACCAAAGTGCTCTTTGGGGAATATATGGGGAAATGCAGTCCCTGGCTATGTAGGGCTTTAAAGGTAAGCACCAGCACTTTGAAGCAAATCCGGTATGCTATAGGGAGCCAGTGCAGCACTTTCAGCACAGGTCGGGTGTGCTCCCAGCCCGGGACGCCCACCAACAACCTGGCCGCAGCATTCTGCACCAGCTGTAGCTTCCGGATTTGCAACAAAGGCAGCCCCATGTAGAGAGCATTGCAGTAGTCTAGCCTCGAGGTGACCGTCACATGGATCACTGTAGCTAGGTCATTACGGTCAAGGAAAGGAACCAACTGCCATATCAGCCGAAGATGATAAAAGGCTGTTCTGGCAGTGGCTGCCACCTGGGCCTCCATCGTTAAGGTAGGGTCCAGGAGCACTCCCAAACTCCTAACCTCCGAAGCTGGCACCAAAGGTGCCCTGTCGAAGGTCGGGAGTGGAAGCCCCAACCCCGATCCGGTCCGACCCAAGCACAGGACCTCCATCTTCACCAGGTTTAACTTCAGCCTGCTCAGCCTGAGCCACCCAGCCACAGCTTGTAAAGCCCGGTGCAGATCTTCTGGGTTGGAGTCCGACCGGCCGCCCAACATCAAATAGAGCTGGGTGTCATCTGCGTATTGATGACATCCTAGCCCATACCTCCAGACAATCTGGGCAAGGGGGCGCATATATATGTTAAATAGCATCGGGGAAAGCACAGCCCCCTGAGGCCCCCCACACTCAAGTGGGTGCCTCCGGGACTGTTGTTCCCCTAGCACTACCCTCTGTCCCCGACCTTGGAGAAATGAGGCAAGCCATTGAAGGGCAAGCCCCCTAATCCCCACGTCGGCGAGGCGGTGGGCCAGCAGCTGGTGGTCGACCGTATCAAATGCGGCCGACAGATCTAACAACAACAGCGCCGCCACACCGCCTTGATCCAGATGTCTACAGAGGTCATCAGTCAGGGCATCCAGTACTGTCTCCGTCCCATGTCCCGGGCGAAAGCCGGACTGGAATGGTCAAGGACAGAAGCGTCATCCAGGTAACTCTGTAGCTGAACTGCCACCGCCTTTTCAATCAATTTGCACAAATAGGGCAAATTGGACTACCCGTGACATACTTGCTTATGTTAAAACAATCAGGAAGAATAGGGTTACCAGATGTCCTCTTTTTTTTTGGTGACTGTACTCTTTGGGGCTTTAAAAAAAAAAGCTGATGAAAATGTCCTCATTTTGAGTTGGAAGGTTAGGAATATTCCTAGTTAGTAGCTATTATCACAGCTTAAATGATAGGGATATTTAAAATGAGATTTGTCATAGTCATCACATGTTTGAAGTAGTCAGTCCGAAAATATGACCTCTTTTTTTGCTTTTCAAAATATGGTAACCCTAAGGAAGAATGCTCGGAACATTGACTCATGTAGAAACACAGGAAAGGAGAGCCCCTATTGCATGGGGTTAATTCTCAAGAGCGCCTAAAGTAATCTGTTTTAAGTTTAGGAGTGTAATGTGTCTTCAGTTCTAATATGGAGAAAAGTATGCCGTAGTTATCAGCCATTTGGAAAGCAATGAGTTACAGAAAACTGAGGTCATTGAATGCATGCATAATGCGTAACTTGCAAGGCCGGTTTCAGGTTTGGAGGGCTGGGCAGACAGTGTCCAGGCCCCCCCCCCATGCCTGCTACCAGGCCCCACTTTTTGACCACCCACCCACATGCCCCCACCTGCCTGTGCATCCTTCCCCTGCCCACTCACAAAGTTCCACTGCTAGGGTTGCCAACCCCCAGGTGGGACCAGGAGAGCTCCAGGAATCACAAGTGATCTCCAGGCTATACAGATCAGTCCCCCTGGAGAAAATGGCTGCCTTGAAAGGAGGATTGTATGGTATCATACCCCACTGAGGTCTCTCCTATCCCCAAAACATGCCTGCCCCAGACTCCACCCCCAAATCTCCAGGAATTTTCCAACCCAGAGCTGGTAGTCCTAGCCCTGGCAGCTGATCCACCTCAGGGTATGATGTTGCTGGCCACCTCTGTTGCCAGAGAACTTTAATGATGGCCACTGATTTCTAAGCAGGTTGTCTCTCCGGTGGCCAATGGCAATTCTTGGGCAGATTGGATGCTCTCATGCAGCCCGTCTACACACACTCTTTGCTTCAGAGTGCTCAGTAATAATTTTATCTTTGCAAAGTAATCTTTTCACACAGGTCCTGGGCTGCAAATGTCCACTAAAACCTTTAAAAAGGGGGGGGGAGACCTTTAGGTATAAAAGGTCAAAGAGGTAATTGCGAAGTCATCAAAACTGCTGCGTGACTCAACCCTTCCCACAGAGGCTGGGACTGGGAATATGCTGAGCACATGTTTATGTAAATACATGGGTCTGAAGCCGCTAGTGGGACAGCGGATTCCCAAAACCATGCCTTCTTGGTGGTGGGGAGAGGGAAGAAAACCGCCCTGTAAGCATGTTTACTCTACAGTCACTCGGAAGTTGTAACTTGTCTCAGAGAGGTGACTCACTCATCCAGGTCTATAAAAGCCAAACCATTAAATAGCCTAAACCGTCAGAGTTCCACAACCTTCGAATTCATCCAGCACGATGCACCCAATCTCTGCAGCCGCCGGCTTTCTCTTGCTTGGTTTATCGGCATCTTTCAGGCTGCCTTTGTCAGATGAAGAGGACAGCAACAGCGATGAGTTCACAAAGGAAGATTTTGCATTTGCAGAGGTACAACTTCCCCTCTTGCCTTTGCTTTTCTCCCTCTTCTGTTGCTTTCCTCTATACTGAAACTCATCTACAGGGCACACAACTGCCTTTTAGCTTTAAATGCCCTGCACATACTTGGAAATAATACGTAGAATAATATCATCATTTTGCATTATTTTTCAATATGTGTCGTGCTGTTTTGTTGCATTGTTCACATGTATTCTATTGTTTGCATTGCACTCTCTTCTCATTCTGTAATCTGCCCTGACTCTCAGTGAGAAAGCGGGACTATAAATGAAGCAAGTAAGTCAACAACGCAACCATGTTGCTGTGTCGTTGGTTGCAGAAATTACTGTTATTTTCTTCTCCCCAGCGCTACCTAAAGGCTCATTACAATCTCCAGTCCAATCCTTCGGGCCTGCTGAAGAAGTCAGCCAGTTCAATGGCATCCAAACTTCGAGAGATGCAAGCATTCTTTGGACTGGAGGTGACGGGCAAGCTTGATGAAGAAACCTTTGACCTGATGCAGGAGCCAAGGTGTGGCGTCCCTGATGTGGGGGAATACAATTTTTTCCCTCGAAATCTGAAGTGGTCCCACAGTAATTTAACATACAGGTAAATTGTCTTTTATTCAAAATCTTTGTGTTGATATATATCCAGCCATATCAGCACCACAGACATGCAGTGCTATGTTTTGAGAGGCTGAGGTCAACTCATGTTTCAGTATGTACTCCTAATATGTAAATTTGGTGTGGTGGTTTGGTGTAGTGGTTAAGAGTGGTGGACTCCAATCTGGAGAACTGGGTTTGATTCCCCACTCCTCCACATGAAGCCAACTGGGTGACCCTGGGTCAGTCACAGTTCTCTCAGAATTCTCTCAGCCCCACCTACCTCACAGGGAGTCTGTTGTGGGCAGAGGAATGGAAGGTGATTGTAAGCCTCTTTGAGACTCCTTAGGGTAGAGAACAGAGGGATATAAAAACCAGCTCTCTTATTCTAAAAGAAATTGCCTTATACAGTCTGACCAGTGGTGAGTCTGTCTCTAAGTACTTTCTAGGCATCAGTTTTGCAGAGGATTTCTGTTACTAACGTATGTAGTAGGTTCAGGTGAATAGCTATGTTGGTCTGAAGCAGTAGAACAAAGTCTGAGTCCAGTGGCACCTTTAAAGCCAACAAAGTTTAATTATAGATAGGGACTCTGATAGATAGGGACTCTGGGGCAAGTGATGCTCTGTCTTCTTGGTGCTTGGGGGGGTCAACAGTGGGAGGGCTTCTAGTGTCCTGGCCCCACTGGTGGACCTCCTGATGGCACCTGGTATTTTTGGCCACTGTGTGACTGAGTGTTGGATTGGGTGGGCCTTTGGCCTGATCCAACATTGGCGTCTCTTATGTTCTTATGTGTATAAACGTATGCCCAGAATTGAAACTTGCTGGTCTTAAAGGTGCCACTGGACTCAACATTTGTTCACATATGCAATGTATATGGTGCTCCACTGAGTTCCCACTCTTTATTAAGCACTTATTTTCTGATGCAGGATCAGGCTCTTGGCATATTGTTGTGCTTTGAAATCATGTAAACTACCTTTCAGTGATTATTTAATACTAGTGTTGTTCCTCATGTTAACAAAATGTGAAAGGAAATTGTGGCCCTGTCCACATGAGAGGTTTTGGGCCGGGAGAGGGACGGATCGGGGCCGCAGCAAATGGGCCCGATCCCACAGCAACATCTGGGAATCGTGCTGCGCCCGTTCCCAGCCCGTTCCCAATCCGCCCCTCCCGGCCAAACCCCGCATCAAAAAAGAACCACCTACCTAGGTGGTTCTTTCCGAAAGGCTGCATCACTGCCGGCCGTGGGATTGCCGGCGCATCTTTTCGCCGGCGCATCCCCGGCCCCCAGCCGTACTGCTCATGCTTGAGCATGCGCAGTTCAGCAGTCTCCCCCTCCCAATCGTCTCTTCCTCCCCGGCATCTGATCGTGCCGGGGAGCAACGGCGCCGCGACTCAGGGGATCGTGGGATCCCGCCGCGGCGTCTCTTTTTTGGTGCAGCTTTTAAAAGCCGCACTTTGGCCAGTGTTTTCCCTGCCATGTGGCAGGGGCCTAAGTGTGGCATTTGTAAGCAGTATATATTTTGAGCTACCTCTACATTTTCAAAGATCAAGCAAGTCTTTGAGTTTGCTTCATCTCGCCGTCCTAACTCTCTTTCAATGCATCATTGGGTGGGTTAGGATGGAGCAGAAGGACATAAGAGTTTTGTGGAACATGTACCAGGATGCACCCAAAAGGAAAACAGAAATAAGGTGTTCAGTAACTTGCTGCTGAATCAACCATCAGAATCCTTAGGTGGAACTGTGTGGCTTTGCTCACCTTGGATGGCAGCAGTACAATTTAAATACACATGAACTAGAAAGCAAATCATGACAAAGTCAATGAAAAATAATTCTAAGTAGGATCAAGATGCTAGTCTGACTGAATCACTGGGGCTTGAATGGCTTTAACTTTGTATGGGGGGAGGGTAAAGTGCCATCAAGCAGTCCCCAAAACCTACGTTTTTGGGACCCTGAAGCTTGAACTGTTGTGGGGGGCCCTTCTCAACCAGCAACAATAGGGCAACATCCAACAAGGTCCAATAGATTCTGGTGAGCTAAGCGAGCCCATATAGCTGGGGGTTTGGGTCGGGCCCATAGCTACAGTGGGGCATTTTGAGGTCCAGCCACCTGACTTTCTGCCAGGGCCCCCCAACTTACCACCCTGGCCAGGCCCCCAACTTATTTCTTGTGCTTGCTGAAGTCTTTCTCCCCCCCAGCAGCTCTCTGTATGTCTCCTCAGCTACTTGCTTTAAATGGGAGAGGGGGGGCTTGCACATGCCTGCACTCCAAGGCCCGAATGTACAGCTTGGAGTGCAGGCATGTGGCTCCACTTCTCCCCCAAAGCATTTAAAGGGACCCTTTAAATGCTTTGGGGGAGAAGTGGGGGCCACGTGTGAATTTCAGTGCCCCCCTACTTTTTAAAAGGCCCTCCAAATTAAAAAAAATCCTGGCTACTGGCCTGGATTGGGTGCTACAAGCCCCCAAGAAAATTCTGAAAATTGACCCATTACAGGGACATTTTGAGGCTATATGAAATGGGCATTAGAGCATATTCTAAGGTCAGTATTAAGTACTTCAACCCATTGGCTTATCATTGTGTCACTAAAATAACCTTATTTTAATAACAAACACTTTAAAAATACTCCATCGGTTTTGTTGAAAAATTCACTCATTTTAAAAAAAGTTTCTTTAGGGCCCCTCCAGGATTAGGGGCCCTGAAGCTTAAGCTTCATTAGTTTCATGGTAGATTCACCCCTGCCATCAAGCCACAGCCAACTTGCAACAACCCTAGCAAAAGGCTTTCAGGGCAAGTGAGAGGCAGAGGTAGTTTGCCACGGCCTTCCCCTGCAGAGTCTTCCGTGGTGGCCTCACATCCAAGTACTTAGCTTCCAAATTCTGACAAGACGAGGCTATACCATGCTACCTCCCTTTCCTGTATCCTTTATTGCTATGTATTTTTTCCCCAATTGATATAATTTTCCTTTTAAAAAAAATTCCTCATTTTGTCATGGAAAAAAAACACCACACCCCGGTTTGATAACCTGAGAGTGGAGAAAGATTTATTGCCTTGGGACCATTATCCTAGGAGCATGTGGCATTATTATTTGAGTCTACAAAGAATCAATTGAAAATATGGCTTCTGTTTGTCAGGATTGTAAATTACACGCCAGATCTAACCAAGGCCGAAGTGGACAAAGCGTTCAAAAAGGCTTTCAAGGTGTGGTCTGACGTGACGCCCCTCAACTTCACCAGAATCCGCAGCGGCACTGCTGACATCATGATCTCCTTTGGCAGACGAGGTAATGAGAGAGAAAGTGCCGTGCTTAGCTGTGTCATCTCTTATACTGCTTATCAGCAAAAAATACTAATCGTTCTTATTGATTTTTCCAATGGTTGCAGAGCACGGTGACTTCTATCCCTTTGATGGACCTTCTGGGCTTCTGGCTCATGCTTTCCCTCCAGGACAAAAAGTCGGAGGAGATGCTCATTTTGATGAAGATGAACTCTGGTCAACAGACTCTAAAGGTGATGTGCTTTAAAGGTCATTTATCTTGAGACCATGCAGGTTGTTGTTTCTAAAGGAACAGCCCAGGTGGGCATCTTTATAATGGAATAGGATTGTGTTGTTGTTCAGTCACACAGTCAAGTCTGACTCTTCACGACTCCATGGACCACATCACACAAGGCCCTCCTGTATTCTGCCATCCTCCGGAGTTTGCTTAATTTCGGCCCCGGTCACACGGGAGGATTTGCCCCGCGGGAGGGACTGATCGGGAGCGCATCAAGTGGGCGCGATCATACCACAACATTTGGGAAGTGGCACTCACCCGTCCCCGATCCGTCTCTTCCGGCCGAAGATGTGGAGTTAAAATAAACCTGCTAAGCACTACTACCTACCGGAAAATCCGCGGCGTGGGCGGCCGTGTGATCACCGACGTGCACGTCTCTCTCAGCATACGAGTTCCCCTGCCGAACTGTGCAGGCGCACACATGAGCAGTGGGCTCGCCTCGCTCACCAATCTGTGGCTTCCCCCCGGCATCTGATCATGCCGGGGAGCAACTGCATGGCAGCTCGAGGGATCTGTCTGATCCCGCCGCCGCGCTTCTCTTTTGATGTGGCTCAAAAAACCCGCACTTCAGCTGCACCTTTCCCCCTAGTGTGACCGGGGCCTTTATGTTTGTTGCATCGATAACACTGTCTAACCATCTCATCCTTTGCTGTCCCCTTCTTCTTTTACCTTCTTTCCCAGCATCAGTGTCTTCTCCAATGAATGCTCCCTTCTCATTTGGTGGCCAAAGTATTTGAGCTTCAACTTCAGTATCTGGCCTTCCAGGGAACAGTTAGGGTTGATTGTAATCCACTGCAATGATTGCTGGTGGCATCACCAGCTTTTATTGCATTGCCTTTCAACCTTTGCAATTCCACCTCCTGTAGTATACCTTGCCTTAGGCAGTTTATTGTTTGCATCATAAATTGGTACAATCATATTATTCATTGGTTGTCTCATGCTGTCAGTTTGGTGTAGTGGTTAGGCGTGTGGACTCTAATCTGGGAGAACCAGGTTTGATTCCCTACTCCTCCACATGCAGCTGGTGGTGTAACCTTGGGTCAGTTACAAGTTCTTTCAGAGCTGTTCTCTCAAGAGCAGTCCTCGAAAGAATTCTCAGCCTCACCTACCTCACAGGGTGTCAGTTGTGGGAAAGGGAATGGAAAGGAGATTGTAAAGTGCTCTGAGATTCCTTCAGGTAGTCAAGGACAGGATATAAATCCAATCTCTTCTTCTTCTTCTGATTGCATTGCTTTATATTCTGTAGTACTCCTTGAGCAGAGCCAAATTATGACTTTGGTGGGCCCTAGACACATTTGCCTTCCTGGGCCCTGCCCCCTTCATAAAAATATTTAAAAATATATTTTATGACTACATTGAGATAAAGACAAATATAATCGTACTTTCAAGTCCTAAAGGCGTGCAAATAAATTACCACTACTGCTACATTTTAATTGTTTCTTATTTATGAAAAAGATGATTTTTTGGTAGGAACTGAAAGTTTCATGGGCTCAGTGTACTTATGCCTTTGTGGGCCACTCCCACCATAATAATATCAACATTAAAATTATTTTTGATATAACTTTAAGTCAACATTTTTTCCTGTTTGGGGCAAAATATAATAGAGTTTTGTGGGCCCTGCATGCGAGGGGAAAAAAATAAAACATTTTCTACAACCCTAAAAGTTCTTTTTTTTCTTCTTCTGATTTCAAAAGAAATTAAAACACTTTTGTGGGCCCCTAAAAGTATCGTGGGCCCTAGGCACTGTACCCATTGTGCCTAGGGTTGCCATCCTCCAGGTGGGGCCTGGAGATCCCCCACTTTTACAACTGCTCCCCCAGCTGACAGAGATCAGCTCCCCTGGAGAAAATGGCTTCTTTGAAGGGTGGACTCTATGGCATTGTACCATGCTGAGGCCCCTCCCCTCCCTCTCTCTCGGATCCACCCCCAAAGTCTGCAGGTATTTTCCAATCCAGACATGACAACTCTAACTGTGCCTAATGGATAAATTGGCCCTGTCCTTGAGTCTCAATGCGAAAAATGGGCTATACAAACCAAATTCCACATGAAGATAGAGGGAGAAGGTTCAGCCAGCAAATTGTTTAGTGAGCAGATTCTCCTTTTTTGCAGAAATGGGTGGGGGATTCATCACTATTCACACCAACAGTAACTAAACAGGGTGTTTGGTTATTGCTTGTCATTCATTACAAATAATAACTGGTGCCTGTGTCATACTTGGAAGTCGGTTCCACTTAATTCAGTGGTGTGTAAGTGTGCTTGCACATGAAAGCTTATACTTAAAGGTCTCACTGGGCTCAAACTGTATACAGGATTGCAACCTTAGTTTGATTGATTGCATGGGGTATTAAAACATGTCCAAGTAGATCCTGGAATGCTAATCTTAGACAACAGATAATATTTCCCATCACAGTGTACAGGGAACTGTGGTGAATAATGGCCTTGGTCACACAAGAGGTTTTGGGCCAGTAAAGGGACGGAACGGGGACGCAGCAAATGTGCACAATCCCACAGCAACATCTGGGAATCGTGCTGCTTGCGTCCCCGATCCGCCCCTTCCACCCAAAACCCCGCACCAAAACAGAACCACCTACCTTGGTGGTTCGTCTGAGAAGTGCGCCCCAAGCCCGGCCGTGGGATCGCCGGCGCATCCTTGCGCCGGCGCATCCTCAGCCCCTCCCCGAACTGCACATGTGTGAGCATGCGGAGTTCGTCAGCCTCCCCTTCCCAACGTGGCTTTCTCCCCGGCATCTGATCGTGCCGGGGAGAAAAGGTGCTGCGGCTCAGGGGATCCGTGGGATCCCGCTGCGGCGTCTCAACTTTGGTGTGGCTTTTAGAAGCCGTGCTTTGAGCGAGTTTTCCCCTGCCATGTGGCAGGGGCCAATGGTTCATGTTTTCATGTTTTAAAAGACACCCCCCCCCTAAAAAAAAGAAAGCATTTTGTTGCAATATGAGTGTGCTGTTTTCTAGGCTACAACCTGTTCCTTGTTGCTGCCCATGAATTTGGTCATTCCTTGGGACTTGAGCATTCCAGGGACCCAGGAGCTCTGATGTACCCTGTATACACATACACAGGCAACACTGGCTTCGTACTTCCAGATGACGATGTACAAGGAATCCAGACTCTCTACGGTAGGTCAGCCTTTCTGCCCTTTCCTTGATTTGCATAAGTATTATCCTGTGGTGGAACTTGTGGGTAGCAAATTTCCTTGGGCTTCCTCTTCATCAGGACTGTGATGCAAGAAAGCCATTGTTGCAATAACTTCTGTACCTATATAAAATCATAGGTTTCATATATACGTGGGCTGAAGTAGAGCAGATTCACCACCTATAACTAACACAGAGGTTATCTGATCCATATGTTAACTTCAATGACATGCTATTGAGTTCTTGGGACTGTTACCATGCCAGATGGCAAATGGGGAAGATCACATGTTGGAATGATCCTGACGTGGGGTGGGGGGACAACTCCAACTCCCTGTGTGCAGAAAAATAGCATATATGGGAGATCATTCTAGACTATAACCCTAGTTTTCTACTGCCAAGGACAATTTTATGCAGAGGAAAATTGAAAAATTCACATTTTTCTCCAGCTCTGGAATGATACAGTTTCAGAAGATCCTACCACTGATTTATCTGAATGCATAAAGGTAAAGGTTCCCTTGCTCAAAAGCCAGTCAAATCCGACTCTAGGGGGTGGGGCTCATCTCCGTTTCAATGCCGAAGAGCCAGCGCTGTCCGAAGACGTTTCCATGGTCATGTGGCCGGCATGACTAAACACCAAGGCGCACGGAACTCTGTTACCTTCCCACCGAAGTGGTACCTATTTATCTACTTGCAATTTCTTGCTCTCGAACTGCTAGGTTGGCAAGAGCTGGAACTAGAGACGGGAGCTCACTCCGTCATGCGGCACACTCGGGTCTCGAACTGCTGAACTACTGACTACTGACCTTCCACGGCCTGCAGTTCAGCGTCTTAACCACTTGAGCCACCGCAGCTCAGAAGATCCTACCACTGATTTATCTGAATGCGTAGCTGAGCCTTAGCATTCATGTTTCAGCCTTGGAAAGTCACTGATGGCTGAAGCTATTTGTACCACCTTTACCTTTATACATATTGGGGAAAAGGAAATAGTACATCAGTCATTTGCAATCTCCACTTTTCTGCCTTGATGGCTTTTTAAAATTTGTTTTAGGATTGCCAACTCTAGATGGGAAATTCCTGGCTAATTCCTGGAATAGAAGTTGGGGTGGAGCCTGGGGAGGGAGGGCTTTGGGGAGGGGAGGGACCTCAGCGGGGGTACAGTGCCAGAGTCCCCCCTCTAAAGCAGCCATTTTCTCCATCAGAACTAACCTCTGTCACCTGGAGATCAGTTGTCGTTCCGGGGGAGCTCTAGGCCCTACCTGAAGGCTGGCAACCCTGTCATAGAGTATTGAACAAATGTATCAGGATGCCACAAATATATAGCCTTAGCCTGCAAGAAGACATTTACAACACTTCTTGCAATTTACTGGCACAGGTAAAGGAGAACATGACCCTCATCCTGATCACCCCAAGACTCCTGAGAAATGTGATGCAAATTTGGCCCTTGATGCAATAACAGAACTTCGAGGAGAAACAATGATATTCAAGGACAGGTGAGAGGCAAATGAAGCAGTCAGTTTACGTACATTACTCTGAGCTGTTGATTGATTGATTGATAGATAGATGATAGTTTAGATTGTATCCAGTGATCTGTCCACTCCACACTTCTCGTGGAACTTTCCCTCCCCCACTCCCACAATAGAGCCCATGCCCCCTGAAATGCTGTCCCCGAAGTCCAGTTTGGAGTAGTGGTTAAGAACGCGGACTCTAATCTGATTCCCCACTCCTCCACATGCAGCTGCTGGTGTGATCTTGGGTCAGTCATAAGTTCTCTCAAAGCTGTTCTCTCAAGGGCAGTTCTCAAGAGAGCTCTCTCTCAGCCCCACCTACCTCACAGGGTGTCTGTTGTGGAGAGGGGAAGGGTATAAATCCAACCTCCTCTTCTTTTTCCAGGGGGCTCCTAGGAACAGTGTTATGAAGTGGGAGGCGAAATCTGCAGAAATTGCACATGCACGCGCGCACACACAGACATGCACACATTGGTGGCAGAAGCGCACTGGTAGGAATAGATAATAGGATCCAATACTTGATAAAAGCATTGTGATAAATTATGATGCTGAATTGCTGAAGTGCAGACTTGCATGAGTTAAGGCACCATGCAAAATGCAGCTTACTATTAACCACCTGTGCAGTTTTGCTAGCAGTTTGGTAACTCTCCCCATCTCTGCTGCCTGCCTAGACATGCAAAAGTAAAAATAAAAATTGGGGGGTATCAATCCATAGTTAGTGAGGTGCGTTCAGTTTGGTGGGTTCCAAGCTGTTCTAGTATCAGGTAGTCATTCCATAGACCACTTCATGCACTAAATGTGCTTTTTTTGTGCAGGTTTCTCAAGCATTTGAATCCACAATACTTCACATCTATGAAATGTATTTTTCCATTTGTTGATTTGTAGAGCACTGTAAATATGCTGCTTTCTTTTTCATGAAGATCTCAATTAACTTTTGCCATGGTTTTGACCCCCCAAATGTTCCTCTCCCTATAACAGATTCTTCTGGCGCATGCATCCTCAGATGGTCGAGGCAGATTTAGTACAAATCAAATCATTTTGGCCGGAGATGCCAGCCAAGATCGATGCTGCCTATGAGCACCCTGCCAATGACCATGTGCTGCTTTTTAGGGGTAAGTCTTCTGCAGAGAACAGAAAAAAGAACAACAAATGGCCCATTCTCTCAATGTGATGCGCTGCCCGAGTAAACTGGTGACAACAGCAAAAGATGGGCAGTGCAATCCTAACCAGCGCTCCACCGTTTAGAGTCCATTGAAGTTCATGGGCTTAGAAGGGTGTGAATCAGTTTACGGTCACACTTTGAAAGCCTTCGCTTGAATGTCAGAAAGGCAGACAATTAATTGTGTTTGTACATAAATACAACACACTAAAGGGTCCTTTTCCCATTTTCGGTAGCAATCTGTTCATATGTTCCTGGAATTTGCTTTTTGGACTAATTCTTAGTACTAGTTGTCTCAATGGAGGAGGTAGAGTCAGCCAAGACTTCTCCACCACCTCCTTCTCCTCCTTCTATCAAAGCAGAGTTCCTCAGGACATCCTTCACCTTTTGAAGAGAAGGAATGGATTTCCCATCTTATGACTCTGATTAAGTAGGGTCAAATGGGATTTCTCTTGGTAGGAAAGGTCTCTCTACATTAGATCAAAAGAACTCTTGGGTCTTCCCTGGCCCACTGAGTCATTTTCATCCACATGGGCTTTCCTAGCAACTGGCCATCAATTCAAAATTAAAATGTGTCTCATGCAATTTTGCTTACCTTAGCATAACTATTGCCAAGAATAAGACATTTGCAGGCTTCTACAGCCAGGATGTGGCCTTTCAGTTTTCAAAGTTTGTCATTAAAAACAGAAGCAGTATTGTGTAGTTGCTGGGATGTTGGAACAGGCTTGGAGGAATGTGGCTTTAAACAGGCATTATGCCATGAAGCTCAGGGTGTGCCTGTGGGCTGCTCACTCTCAGCTAAAACTACCTCACAGGGTTGTTGTGAGGATAAAATCAAGGAGGTAGAAAGCATGTGTGGCCTGCTGAGTTTCTTGGTAGAAGAGCAGGATAGAAATCTAATAGATAAACATTTTTGTACAAATAAATAAGCGCCGCTCCGAATTTCATAGATGATCAGAAACAGAGTCAGTTGCTCAGGAAAACATTCCATGGATTGAGCTCCTGAATAATAACCTACTTTAGGAAGTGCATTAAGGGCCAAAAGTGAGTACTTATATCTGTTTTTGCTTTCCAAAGTGCAGAGTTTGATTCATTCTTTAATTCCCTATTGAAAGGACTGGGTCTTAAATGGGCCTAACGTTGGACGGATGTTTGACTGCAGGTGTTTACTTCACTTATTTCATCCTCGCTTAATAACCATGGGATAAAAAGTCCTCAGTATTATTTTTGAGAATGGGAAGAGAGGCTGAGAGAGTAACACACCTTATGCCATACTATGAGCACTTCAAAAAGAACAAGAGTCCAGTTGCACCTTAAAGACTAACAAAATATATGGCAGAATACAAGCTTCCGTGAGTCACTGCTCACTTCTTCAGATACAGCTAGAATGGGAGTCCATCTGTCCTATTTACTGGAAAGTGGAGTGATTTCAGAAGCCAAATGACATTAGGAGGCAAATGACAATAGCAGGTGAATAACAATAGCAGGTGTGATTGGATTTAGGTGAGATATGCAGAGGGTTAATAGGCGTGGAGAAATCAGCATTGCCAATGAGACAGGAAGCCTAGGTCTTGATTCAGTCCAGGTGGATGCATTGTTGAACTGCAGTTTTGAACCCAGCTAGTCTAACACATGATTCACACTTTCTCTCAGGCAGGAAATTCTGGGCACTGAAGGGATATGACATTGTAGAAGGCTATCCCAAAAAGCTTCCAGAATTGGGATTTCCAAGATCCGTGAAGACAATAGATGCAGCTGTCCATATCACTGACACTGGAAAAACTCTCTTTTTCACCGGCGAAAAATACTGGAGGTATGCTGAAGATTCTGTTCACCTAACAGAGCTGCTCTGTCAGTGGATCGACTCTGCTTCTCTCTTGCTTGTTCTTGCTGACCCGAAAACCATAACAATAACATCTTTGATTCATTTTTTTTTAAGTTTGGCTTTGTAAATGTCTGAAATATTCATATTTTTGATCGATGAGAAGTATGGCAACGACATTCATAGGGTCTCTGGATCTACTTTTAAACCGAACCCAATTTAATTTACACTCCCTTTCTGTCAGAATGACACAGTGCAACTTAAACGGATTAAAGTCAGTTGGCGTAGAAGGGCGTAAGTCTGTTTCGGATTGCACTGAGTCCCTCTTCCTCAACCTAGCCTACTTCACAGGCTTCTTGTAAGAATGAAATGGGGACGAGAGAGCCAGACATGCTGTTCTGAGGTCAGTGGATGAAGGGTGGTGATAAATGGGTAATAATAAAACATGTGCGGGTCTGGGGAGAGGCTATTGCTCAGTGGTAAAGCATCTGCTTTGCACGCGGAAAGTTCCAGGATCAATCCCCGTCATCCCCAGTGGAAGGGATCATGTATTAGGTAATGTGAAAGACCTCTCAACATCCTGGAGACGATACTTACCTCAACAGGCCAAGAGTCTGATTCAGTATAAAGCAGATTTGTGTGTTGTGAGACTTGCTTTTGTGTGAAATCAGGGTTGCCAGGTGCCTACCGTCTGCTGGTGAGGGGTTCCATCCTGCTGCTCAGGATCTTCTGGTGTGCACACAAAGCGTGCACACCACAATGATGTCACCCAGAGTTGATGTCATTGCACACGGGCACATCGTGCAGGGGATGCTCTGGCATTTGGTCACCATAGAGTTTTTAGCCAAACGCTAGAGCGTTCCCCATGTGACATGCCTGGCAGAATGACATTGTCTTTGGGTATGGATTGGGAGCCCCAAAATCAGGGGAACCCCCACCTCCATTGGGGGGATGGCAACCCTAAGTGAAATACACATGAATCTACCTTGTACTGAGTCTGACTGTTGGTCCATCAAGGTCAGTATTGTCTACTCAGATTGGTAGGATCTCAGGCAGTCTTATCACTTCCTTCCTGTTCCTTTCCACTGGAGATACCAGGGATTGAACCAGGAACGTTCTTCATGCCAAACAGATGCTCTACATCTGAGCTACAGCCCCTCCCCAAGGTACAGAAAGGTACAGCCCTTTCTGTAATATAGCTTCCTGTCCAAAGAGGTGTGTTATTCCATTGTGTGTGTGTGTGTGTGGCTACCAGATACAGACTTTTCTGTCCAGGCAGGTGTTTATGGCGTGATTATATATACATATTTCTTAAAAGCTTGCTACAGCTGATATGTATTTCTGGTTTTGTGGTTCTTTAAAAATCTCTATTTTATGCTGTGCGAGTGTTTTTTATTATTGTAAACCGCAGAAGTGTACTTCTTGGAACAGAACTGCAAGCACGTACAAACTGCAAATAAATACATGTACTTTCCCCCCTCTTTCACATAGTTATGATGAACAAAGCCAAGTTATGGACAAAGGCTACCCTAGAATAATAGAGGAAGACTTTCCAGGGATTGGCAACCGAGTAGATGCAGCCTACCAGAAAAACGGTGTGTATTTTCATCTTGATTTCCCCCCATGTTGTTAAGAGGGCACGATCCCGGAAGAAAGGGGAGGGGCTGTGGCTAGGGGAGGGGCTGTGGCTCAGTGGTAGAGCATCTGCTTGGCATGCAGGATGTCTCAGGTTCAATCCCCAACATCTCCAGTTACTGGATCTAGCAGTAGGTGATGTGAAAGACCTCTGCCTGAGACTCTGGAGAACTGTTGCCAGTCTTAGACAATACTGAACTTGATGGACCAATGGTCTGATTCAGTACAAGGCAGCTTCATGTGTGTTTAGTGTTGTCAGGCCAAATAATAGCCCTATACTAAGCACATTGACTTAATCACCAAGGAAGCAAGCGGCCTTTATCCAGCAGATGGTGATTACACCTACAGTTTTAGTTACGTTTAATGGGGAGCAGGCACCCATGATCTCAGTGGGGCTTACTTTTGAGTAAACATGCCTAGAATTGGGCTTCATATCCTCCTGAACCCCACGTGGCTTACGTTAATCCCAGTGAATTCGTTACACCCTTTCAATAGGGCTTAATCATAACCATTTGATTGGAGCCAGTCTTTGTGTGTTTACAAGAGCAGCATTAAGAACCTACAGAGCTGGGAGCAGAACTCCGCTTTTCTTGGCTGGATCCTAATATAGCGCTCATAGCCCCAAAAGATGTGCCCTATTCTTGCTGACAGCTTTTTAAAAAATGGTCTGAATGCGTGCTACTCACAGAAATGCAAAGTTTTCAGGAAACTAAATTACTATGAAGTATCAGTATGTATGTTGGCTGGGCAGCAGGGGGAAAAGATCCTCTCCATGCAAGCCTACATAACTTGTAACTGTACAAGCTGAGCAGAACGTATGTCCACAATTTAAAATCAATCTCCTGTTTATGTTACTTGTCTGTGACTGGGGAAAGAACGGGGTTGCCAATGCCAAACCACACTGCCGGCTGCCAAAGATGTAGCTGGTGGGCTACCTTTGGTAGACTGAGTGAATCAGCACTCACGACAGCCTACTCTAGTGCTTAGATCAAGAAACCCAATGTTGCGTCTTCAAAAGATGAAATGAATACTATTAACAAAACCAGTGGTAATGACACGTTGCTGCAATTTCACCACACCGGTCTTCTTTCCCTTCAGGTTATATATATTTCTTCAATGGACCGCTGCAGTTTGAATACAGCATCTGGAGCGAAAGACTTACTCGGGTCCTGAACGCCAACTCGATTTTCTACTGCTGATTGCACTGGGCTGGGTTCTGAGCTGTGGAACACTCTGTCACCCATAAAGAGGAATGCTGGGGGGAATAGGGTAGTCTCTCTTTTTTTTTCCTAAACCCAGAAGCTTGATTCTGTGAATAAGCTCTGGTAATTTTTTGGTGTCTAACATATACTGTATATATGGGATTGTATAGCGCTACATACATCAGTCTGGAACTGAATTAAATTAAAAAGGGGGGTAGAATGAACTCATAAGCATTTTGAGGGGCATTACAGTATTTAAAAGTCAAAAGAGGTCAATGTTCCTATCAAGTCCTAAAGCAATTCTGCGGGAATTCTACCACTGCAGAAATACACAAGGCAAGGAGTGAGAAGGAATTGGCATTGTGCCGGGATTGCCAGGTGTGCCTTGGAAAATACCTGGAGATCTTGGGGGTGCATCTGGGAGAGGGTGGGGCTTGGGGAGGGGAGGGGCCTCAGCATGGTACAATACTGTAGAGTCCGCCCTTCAAAGAAGCCATTTCCTCCAGGGGAGCTGATCTCTGTCAGCTGGAAATCAGTTGTAAGAGTGGGAGATCTCCAGGCCCCACCTGGAGGCTGGCAACCCTACATTGTGCTCAAGTACTTTAGTGCTTTTTAGGGATGAGGCTACAGCAGCCGAAGGATGATGACCAGATTTCTGTTTCCTGACAGAGAGACAGTATCCATTGCTTTAACAATTCAGGGCAGAGACACTGCAGTGGATTTGAATTGCCGGTTCCTTTGTTACAATGATCCATCTGGGAAGGGCTCTTTTTGTAGAAAATGCCCAGCAGGAACTCATTAGCATAATAGGCCACACCCTGACAGCACAGCTTATTAGCATTTTAGGCCGCACCTCCATGTTACCAGAAGCGTGGTCATCCAGCCACACCCACCTTTTGCTTGTTATTCTGTTTACCTTGTCTGTTGTCAAAACCCAGGGCCTTTTTTTGTAGCAGGAACGCCTTTGCATGTTAGGCCACACACCCCTAATGTAGCTAATCCTAATGGGTTTCTGCTGTTGGGTGTGGCCTGTTATGCTAATGAGTTCTGCCGGGCATGGCCAACTCGGGAGCCAGCCGGAACTCCGTTCCTGTGCGTTCCTGCCCAAAAATAGCCCTGCATCTGGGCATCTTTCTACCCTGGGCATGGCAGTGAGCTGGACTGTAGCAGGAGGAGCAAGCAGATGATAAGCCTCTGTGATCATGAGGAAGCAGACACTGTTTCCACATGGCGGTGGAAAGTGCCATCAGGTCACAACTGACTTAGGGTTTCCAAGGCAACAGATATACAGAGGTGGTTTGCCATTGCCTGCCTCTGTATGGCAACCCTGGAATGCCTTGAGGGTTTCCCATTCAAATACTAACCTGGGCTGTCCCAGCTTAGCTACCAAAATCTGATGAGTTTGGGTTAGCCTGGGCCAGGGCCAGGGCATTTCCACACAGGGTAGTGATTATTTTGCCTGCCAGGACTCTGTGCCTCTAACAGTTGCCAAGCAGGCAGAAATCAGGTAGCGATTTTAGATCTAGGAAATGAAAGCCTCTACTTGTTGAATTTCTCTGTCTCATAGCTGGGAAAGGGTACATGCTTTAACCAGCCCTTGGAAACCCAAGTTCCACATAATACCCTGGAGCTGTTAAAGAGCCAGTTTGGTGTAGTGGTTAATAGCACAGACTCTGATCTGGGAGAACAGGGTTTGATTCCCCACTTCTCCACATGCAGCCAGCTGGTGTGACCTTGGTTCAGTCACAAGTTCTCTCAGAGCTGCTCTCTAAAGAGCAGTTCTTGAAAGACCTCTCTCAGCCCCACCTACCTCACAGGGTGTCTGTTGTGGGGAGGAGAAGGGAAAGGAGATTGTAAGCCGCTCTGAGACTTCGAGTGAAGAGCAGGGTATAAATCCAAGCTCTTCTCTTCTTCTTAAAACCATGCAGGTGTCCCCAGGTCAGGAACTGGCAATTATTTGACTAGAACTAATGAGGGACTTCAGTTTGAAATCTTTCTCCTGAGAGGACACTCTGTGAAGCCCTTCTCTGTAGTGTTATGTGCATATCAGACAAAGCCCAGGTTGATTTATTAATAGTTTTAATAGTTTCTTTTTCTAATTGAACTACCTTTTAAAAAAAATAGTCCCAAGAAACAGAACATTTATTGGCAGGAAGACAGCTGGTATCCATCACTAACTCACTGACAAAGGTTTCAAAGTGGCACTACTTCATTGACTAGAAAGCTGACATTTGATGCAGTCCAGTGCATGGTAATTGCACATTTTAACCAATCTCCTTGAAACTCCAAGCCTAAACTATATTGTATAGCAGTGACCAACATTCAAAGACAGGTCAAGCCAAGGCACAGATGGGATAAACAAACTGGTTATGGGAATTTCGCCCTTTATACATTTGAACTAGTCTCAGAGTGGGGGAAGGGGAAGGATTTCCACCAGCGTCTAGTCCTGTGTCTTATGTTTATAGCACACAAGCTATATTCACTAAATAAAAATAAGAGAGGCCTGGGAGAGGGAGGCAAGCAGCAACACTGTTTTGTTTGATATGTACAGTGCTTACTGCTTTGTGAAGCATCTCTGCAGTTAGAGACTAAGGTATGCATTATAAGCACAAAAATGATTTATCATGGTTTGACTGTTAATTTACCCAGGGAAGTTTGGGAAACTGAGGGGACTATAAAACTGCAGTATCCCAGCAGTAGTCCCAAATTCCCATGGTTTATTGGAGGAGATACAGGAGGTGAATGACAGTTTTGAAGATAAACCATGTTGGGCTAGTAATGTGGTCTGTCACCATTGTCCTTTTGACAACAACAACAAAATCTCACTCATTAATTTCCACATACTGTTTTGTTTGCTTTGTATTTATTCCAATATTGTCAGTGAATTGCCAGTACATGAATGGCGTACGATGTAATGACCGTGTTTCTCTCTTTATGTCATTTTTTTTAAAAAAACTTGCTAAATAAATCAAATAAAAACAACAGAAATGATGGGTCTTATCTTCATGCTGTTTAAGGCTAACGCAGGGATTAAGAATACAAAGACAAGTCTGAAGCTATAAAATTAACGGCTTCCACTCCAATTAAGAGGAGGAAATGCCCTCCTTTTACTTCCCCTTTCCAGCCGTACCTGTGCCTTCTCACCCAGCACAGCTGCTAGAGTTGCCAGCTCTGGATTGGGAAATACCTGGAGATTTGGGGGTGGAACCTGGAGAGGGCAGGGCTTGGGGAGGGGAGGGACCTCAGTAGGGTATAATGCTGTAAAGTCCACCCTCCAAAGCAGCCATTTCCTCCAGGGGAACTGATTTTGGTCATCTGGAGATCAATTGTAATAGTGGGAGATCTACAGGTGTCACCTAGGAGTTGGCAACCCTACAGAAGACCTAACCTGGAAACAGCCTCACCACTATGTGTGAATTGCTAGACTGTCCTCTGTGGCTCACCTGTTTAGATTGGAAACAGCCTGCTCCTGGGGCTCAGCTTTTAAAGGGGCTTTCTTGTGAAGCCAGGCCCTTGGGCTAACTGCCCAAGAAAGCCCCGCTCAACCCGGTTTGGTTCGTATGCGAGCTGACTGGCTTTGTGGCGTTTGTGGTTTGGTTCGTGATTCGCCCACTAACCATGAAATGAACTGAAACGAACCAAATCACATTTTTGTGGTGAGTAGTACAGTGAAAATGGCACTTCATTCACACAAATTTGCACACAGACAAATTGAGTTCTACTACCCCCCCCATCCTTGCTATGTAAATGCTCTACTCAGCAGGCAATTGTTTAAATAGACAATTAGATCGCTCAAAAACCATATAAACAAATCACCAGTAAGGGCTGTGTTTCAGTAAAGTCCTACCCTTCAATGTTCACAGAAAGTAGACCTTAGTGATGCTAAGGGCCACCAATCAGTTTGAATCAGTAGCACCGTTGTCCATGCACAGTTTTGGGAAAACTAATACAAACCAGTTCAGTAGGCATTTGTGTCTGCCTGGCATGAATTGAAGAGACTGAATGATCAGCTCCAATCTGATTGCTATTTGTGAGCAAGGTGAGTCTGATGGTTGACTGTATTTGTGGCAAGATTTGCAGCAGCATCCTGACCCCTGACTATCATATCCATCCACAAAACCCATCCACAAAACTAGTAGGTTGAATAGAAGCGGGGACATGAGTGTGTCCAATTCAAACTGAACATCTTTCCAACCCATCCCCTACCTAAACATTCATATGAAAATATTCTAAGCATTATTTATATTGTCAGTAGTAAATGGGGGGGGGGGACTTTCAGAGACAACACTAGGTGGCACTTCTGCCTTGTTATTCGCTTGGTATTGCAAAAGGAAGATCAGCCCTAAAGACTTTACAAGCAAGAATACAGCTGTTAACTAAGATTTAAGCCTCCATTGTTGTACATGCAATGTTTCAATGTTTCCTGTCAGAGAATGAGTTAGTAATACAGAAGCTGACACTTTTTGACAGCAATCACAGTCAACCAGTGATTTAGGGAATTGCTTACACAGACTGAATCAGTAGTTCTTACAGTTACTTTTTTCCTGCCAGGGTATAATCTGCAGACAACAGGTTTCCACACAGAATTATGGGTATTGAGGTAATTAAAATGGCTACACAAGAACGTCAAATGCTAATAAAAGCCAAAACAAACATTTACTTGCGCTACAGTTAGTTGCCCTCCCACTCCCCACCTCACTGTTTAATGTTCTCTTAGTCATGAGGAAAAGATAGCTCCATTCCTGTATCAATAAAGGAATTGTACTTTCATTGTGTAGGGATGGCACCATCCTCTTACCCTGCTGGTTTAGGGATTTGTGGAATTAAACAGACGGACTGCTTTCCTTCAGGCCTAGCTGCTGTGAAGTCAGAGTGGGGACAAAGTCCCAGACTTGAGGTAAGACGAAGGCTAGACGTAGCCAAAGTACAACAGGGTGGCGATATTGGTGAATATGGCAGATGTTGCAGTGGTGACATTACCAAGCAGCACTTTGTTGTTCAGGCCAGACAACAAGCCCGATCGGGAATCTTTTCTAGGGAATGGGCTCCATGTGACTTATTCTCACCAGCAACTGTCAGAGAAGCTTCTTTGCTTATCAAGCTTTTGATGATGGCTTCCAGATGGTTTTTCTGCAACTGCAGCAAGAGTCACAGCCCTTTCCTCATCCTATGTCCTATGAGTAAAGGTAAAGGTAAAGGTTCCCTTGCTCGAAAGCCAGTCGAATCCGACTCTAGGGTTGCGGTGCTCATCTCCGTTTCAAAGCCGAAGAGCCAGCGCTGTCCGAAGACGTTTCCGTGGTCATGTGGCCGGCATGACTAAACACCAAGGCGCATAGAATGCTGTTACCTTCCCACCGAAGTGGTCCCTATTTATCTACTTGCAATTTCTTGCTTTCGAACTGCTAGGTTGGCAGGAGCTGG